GGCTGAGGTGGGGGGATGGGGGAGGGGCTGTATAGCCCGGGGAGGAGGTAGGGGTTGGGGCCTCCCTCGACGGATCCGGAGCTTCTGCCTTGCTCGTCCGTATGGGTAGGGGAGTTGGTGATCTGTTAGCCCGGGCGGAACTCGGAGGAGGGCAGCTGGCGGGAGGGGGGGAGCGGAGTCCTTGGTCCAACTGGTCTGCCCCACCGGGGGGGGGAGGAGAAGAAGGGGAAGGGGGGGAAGGGGAAAGGGTGAGGGGGGGGAGGGGGTAGGGCCGGGCGGTAGCCATTGTGTCTGGGTCGTTCGGGCTCGTTCTGTCTCGTGGTCGAGGCGGACTCGGTGCGAGGGGTGCGGGGGGCAGGGGCGGGGGGGTTGGGGGGGGGTGCACCGTAAAGGCGGTTACTAGGGGCGGGCTGGGGGGGACAGTAGGGGCGAGGCAACGCCCGAGTCTTTTGCCTTCTATGATCTTCCTTTCTACTCGGGCCGTGTCGATGGCCAGGCAACGTCAATCGAGGCGGGGAGAAGGAGGGGAAGCGCAGGAAGCTGTAGGCGGAGGGGTGAAGGCCGGACGGGGGGTACGTGTTAGGTAGGTAGGGGGGGGGGGCAAAGAGTAGCGGGGTTGAGGGGGCGGAGATAGACTTAAAAGGGCTCGGTTTGAGGGGGCAGGGGCGTTGCGTGGTGCAGCAAGAGTGGAGAGCAATGCTCACCATCAAAAGACATACAGGGTTTCCTGTGGTTAAGGTAGAGCTCAAAGCAAGGTCCACAGACAGCACCACTTGAAATGTCATTCATACTCGTCCAATCACCGTCCGATCGCAATAGTTTTATTTCTATAATTCTGTTTCGGTGGCTCTTTCTTCAAGCCGAAACTAAGTATTGGATAAATGGGAGGAACGCGAGTAGGTCGGGGACACGTAAATCGTACGGGCAATTATTCTGGATACTATATGATACGAACCTTTTTTTATATTATTATCCGTGTGATCAGAAGAAAAGACATTTTCGGTGCCAGCATCGAGCAAGCCCGCATCTTTCTTTCCTCATGTCCCTCAAGTGCGGTGCTTGGCAGATACGTGGTTGTAAAATAACTTAACTGGCTAGTTTGCCTAGTCTTAAGATGAAGGCGTGAGCCTGACTTGATCCTGCTGGTTCCTATTGGATCGACTGAAATCTGTATTTATCCGGCCACCCGGCGCTCACTTCATAATTTCATGCAGGCCACCCTAATCACTTTCACACTTCTCTGTTTTGGGTCTGACCTCAAGCCCTTGCTGCTGCCTCCTGGTTTAGCGCTTCTACTATGATAATCAACCTGGCGAGGACGTTTGTGTTAAGTCAATGTCCTAATATCTAACAAGCGTGGCCTAGGGTAGGGGAAAAATGATGAAACTATTCTGACCTGCCTGGCAACCATTGGCTGCCCACTGCACGTTGATACATCCGCGACTAACGTCTGAACAACACAGTCCCCGCCCACATAAACCCCACGAAATAAACCAACTAACCACCCCCACCATCCTTCAACACACCACACACACCCGACGGACGACACACAGCCCACACAACGGCCCGCTCCACTTCTCCTGGAACTTCATCTATTCTTGTGTGTTCTTCATCTTTCATTTATTATATATTATAATTATGATATTTTGCCAACATCTACTTAATTATCACAGCTATTTCATCCTATCCGACTATCAACTGGGTCAATTTACGGATACCGAATATGAATTAATTAATGTCCTTGTCTGCACATATCTGCACGGCCCCCTAGTAAATGAAAGACTTGGTGTGAATGGTATCCATCCAGGTGATTCTGTGTTCTGTGTATCAGGAGAGCCAAACTTCCTCACAACGGACCAACTGACGGTGTGTCCGGCAAATGGTACCCTGTTCCCTTATAGTTGCACTAACGTTGGTTGGGTATTGTCCCTCGTATGGTAGTTGTCCTCCTCGGTATGGGTTGGGGGAAGAAACAAAAGGGTCCCCCTCATTAGGGTATGTTGGCGGCCATCATTATGGTGGATGGGTCCCTCGGTAGGGTCCCCGGGTTCTGTATTGGTATGGGTAATCGCCTGCAGTATGGTATGGGTCCCTCGTTATAGGTATGGTACCCTCGTAATTGTATAAAAGTATGGTCCCTCGGTTGTTATGTGTTCCCGTCATTATGGAATGAGGGCTAGGGGGGGGCGGCGGGGCTGTAGGGTGGTGATAGTAGGGGGGTTTTTGGGGCCGGGAAAATGGTTTATCGGGGGATTAGGGTGGGGGAGAGTGATAGAGTAAGTGGCGTCAGGATGAAAGAAAAACGAAGATGGGGAACGGATGAAGGAGAAAAAGAGGGTGTGGGGGGTTCGACCTGTGGAAGGGTAGCTGGGACAAGGAAGGGAATTGGGGGGAACGGGGCAGTGGGGGGGGAGGGGACGGGAGGGTGATGGGGTGGGGGGGCGGAGAAGGAGAAAAAGGGGGGGGAAGTAGAAGAGGGGGACAGAGAAATAAGGCTGGAAGGGAGGGTGGGGGTGGAGGGGGGGGGGGTGAAAAGGGGGGGGGGGGGGGTAAGAGGGGGGGGGAGGTGGGCAAGAGGAGGGGCCTGGCAGAAGGGGGTGGAAAGGAGGGGGGGGAAGAGAGTGGGGGGAAGAGTGGATGGGGGGGTGGGGGTCTAAGGAGGGGGCGGGGTAGGTGGGGAGTGTAGGCCGGGTCTAGATGGAGGTTGGGGTGATGGAGGGAAGAAGTATTGGATGGAGAGGGAGGGGAAAAAAGGGGGCAATGGGCACCGGGTTAGAAGGAGAGGGGGGGGTGGGGGGGGGGTAAAATGGGGTGGCGTGCCGAGGGGGGAGGAGGAGGGAGAAGGGAAGAGCGGGGTGTCGCGAGGAGTGGTAGGGGTGCTGGGGAAAAGTGGGAGGGAGAGAAGAGGGGGCATAGGTGGGGTGGCGGGGGAGAAGAAGGGTGGAGGGGGGGGGGGAGGGAGGCGGGGGGAAAGACGGGGGGTAGGAGGGGGGGACGGTGGTAGTGGGAAGGGGGGGGGGTGATGGGGGAGTCGGGGGGTTGGGTAGGGGCGTGGAGTGTAGGGGGTTGAATGTTAGAAAAGGGGGGGGAGAGAGAGGGGGTAGGGGGTACAAAAAGAGGTGAAATATGAGGTTAGAGCCCAGAGGGGGGGGGGGGGTGGAAATGGCAACACGGTGGAAGGGGAGGGAGAGCTGGGAGGAATGGCGGGGGTGGTCAGTTATCTCGGTGAGTAATTAAGTTTGGTGAGAATTGTATAGAAGTGCTGTAATTTCATTGGCCTCGGCAGGGGCATTAGAGAGAGGAAATCTTTGTTTTGACATAGGTGGGGTAATTCGCTTGTCGGTATAAAGAGTAGGGTAAGTAGGTAAAAAGAGTATGCGCCTTCTTTTTGCATTGTCTACGGTATGGGTAATGTCCCGTCAAAGTATGGTATGAGTCGCCTCGTTTATGGTATTGTCCCCTCGGTATGGTTAATGGTCCTTCTCGGGATGGTCCTCGTATGGTCCCGTACCCCTTCTGTATGGTATGGTCCCTCATTAATGGTATGGTCCTCGGTAGTGGTCCCTCGGTATGGTATGGTCCCCCTCAGTATGGTATGGTTCCCAATCGTATGGGTAGGTCCCTCGTATGTGTATGGTCCCCCGGTATGGGTCCGCCTCTGTTAATGTGTATGGTATGGTCCCTCGGTTATGGTATGGTCCCTCGTGTATGGTATGGTCCCTGCAGTATGGTATGGGTCCTCGGTA